CACAACTGAGAGTTACCATCACACCACAGGAATCAACAGGAATGGAAGGCTACAGACCTCAGTTGTTCTTCCATGACAATTCCCATCTGATTTTCATCAGGGTACCCAAACAAAAAAAGCCTGTAGATATGACCATTCCTGCCATTCAGTGTGGACTTTTAGCACATGCAGACATTACATGTGGTTAGCTCAGCTAAAGACAAGCTAAGTCACAGTAACAGTCTTCCCTGTGCTCCCACCAGGACCTAAGGCCAGGTATTAAGTTACTGCATCCCACAACGCTGTGGTTTCCATCAACTTAAGACACCACAGCTTGGCTGTGCGTGTTGGCACTTGGCAACATCAGCCACAGCTCCACTGAAGCCAGTGCAGAGCAGCCTGCAAGGGCCTGGCTCCAGACACTGAGCTCACAAAGTATCACAATGACCTGCCATGGCAAAAAGAAAAAATGCAGTTAAAGTTTTGGGCTGTAAATCCAAGCAGAAGGAAAGATGTTCCACCAAGGAGAGAGACAGACAGTCACCCCATAAAACTGGTTGTGTTTGACATGCCAAACCTCACTGCTTCCTGGGAAGAAGCTCCAGTCACATGTCTGTTGAGAAGAGATGTGAGCACACACAGAAATACCTTGTCTCAGTGAAAACGGGGATTGTGCAATGGCAGCTCTGCTACATTTTATAACGAGGTTAAAGGATCCTGTACTGGAGAAAACTTCCTTGGGAAGAAAAAAAAGTTCTGGTTGGCTGTAGCATTCCTAACTATTAACCTTTTCAAAGCTATAGACTGAGAACATTTGAGAACTCTGATGAAGATATTAACCAAAAATTGATTTTTGCACTCGAAGTTTGTACCAGTTATAGCCGGGAAAGGTTAAAAAGCGGTCTCTTCCCCAAAGGGCAAGAAAAATACTGTGGCTATCTCTATTATAAGATATTTAGCCATCACTATTCTGTTTGTGTCTTAAGAGAGTAATTAGTCTCCAGAAGGTGATTAAAATTTGATAAATGACCGTGGATTCTTGAAGACTTCTTTCAGCTGGTCTTTATCCCCTGCGGCTCAGACACTAAGCTGTCATCACATCAGCCAAAGGTGAGGGATTTTTTGTTTGCCACAATCATAAAACTTTCACTCAGTATTAAGAGTTATCAGAACCAGGAGCCTTGAATGCAGATTTTAATAACAGATGAAAATTTCAAATATATGCCTAATGCCCATCTGCTTCTGAGAGACAGTAAGATGATTCAAAGCTGGTAATCTAATCACAAAAGTCTTTTCCTAGCCAATGAAAAAAACCTGGATACAAGCTGTCAAAACAACCTCCTCAGCCACGTATTTTCTGCTGAATGGAAAACATACCTTATGATCTGTTTGCATTCTGCTCCAAACCTTTGAGGAAAACAAGAGACGCTGTTTATGGATTTTATCACTGCTTCTGTGTATGTTAGATCCTGAAATAATTCTATTTATAGGCATCGTACATAACAGTACAACTCCAATAAGAATATAGCTCAGAAATAAGAGCTGTAAACTAAAATTCTTCATAAAACACACAAGCTAAACTATCAGAAACAAAGCATTTCTATTTCTGACAGTGCCTTGGGTTGCTAAAATTAGGGCAGCAGTATTAAAAAAATGGCAACTTTCCAGGTGTTCACTTATGTGCTGCTTCTCCTTCATGATGACAAGTAACAGAAACAACAGTTATCAGGATGTGGGCATGTCCAGAGTAGCAAGCATGCAAGCAAATCTACAAAATGAATTCAGGGTTAGATATTTTTACAATTCCCTTCAAAGTTGTTCTGTACTTCACAGTGCAGGAATTGATCCTGTGAGGTGGCATTCCCAACTCCTGAGAGTAACTACTCCAGGTTTCAAAGGAAAGTCCAAGAAACCCTGTGAAGGGAAGGCAGTGTCTTTGAAAAACAGCTTCTAAGGTACTCCACCTAATTCCCCAGATCAACAGATGTTCTACTGTTACTTCATGTTTCCCTCTTAAGAAGTTAGGAGGGAGAACAGCTCCAGTGTGGTACCCAGTGAGTGCAGATGCCTATACACAGTTTAACTTTTTTAAACTGGGGGCACCAGACCAACACTAACTCAGCTTCTCAGCATTAAAAAGGTGGGGACTTTCTGGCTGACTTGTTCAGCAGTCTTGGAGGCAAGGGGAAGTCCTGATCCAGTCTGAGCACATTGCAAGGACAGGAAATAGCCTCAGAGAAATTAAAGAGGTAACATGTCCTTGTTCTTCCTCATAGGAATGCAGAAAGGAGAAGAAAGGATTAGATTATTCAAGGCTGAGTAGAAAGAAGTCAGCTCATGGTTGTTACCTACCTCAAAATTCACAGGATGGTCTTACATGACAAAGAGACTCCAGAACTTACCAAACAACTGTTTCTGTTACAGAATTAAAAAGCCTAATATAAAAGGCAAAGACCAGAAGACACAGGCACAACAAATATATGTATAACAAATAAAAAAAATATAACAAATGAAAAGAACAAAAGTTGTACCTACTCGTTATTAGGCCATCTGTGTTTGAACTCTCAAACACATAACTGTTAACTGACTTGCTAATTGTCTATGAAAATTGTAACTCGGTTTTCTTGACAAATTTTGAAAACATATTCAAATATTAATAATAGAAAAATGAACCATTTTTATAACAAAAATCTTGATTTATTAAAAGCTGGAACTGGTTAAAAATAAATCCCTGACATAAGGTTCTTGTTAGCTTTAAACTGTAAGCATAAAAATACCCTAGAATTATGTTTTGGTATGGCTGAAATGTACACTATATAACACATAAAAAGCGCCTTGACTTGCTGCTATTATTTTTAATTAGGCTCTCCAGCACGTATGGTTTTACCTTCCAACACCAGTTCAAATTTGGGAAAAGGGAGGGTCTTACTCTCCAAACTCATGGGACTGGCAATTCCATGGCTCATGCCTTGGAGCACTAATGCATTTTACATTAGGTCTAAGCATCAGGAAATCCTGGCTTCTGGCGCCAAGCAGTTCAGAAAGATAATGACACACATCTGAAAACGAGGATTCGCCGTTCAACTGCCAGTATCTATTCTATCAAACAATCCACTCCTGCTTTGCTACAAATAGGACAGAACATTTGCAGCAGTCCACACTGTTTCCAATTAGACTGTGTGTCTGGACTGCAGATAAATCCATGGAGCAATCATATTGAAAGAAGCCTTCCTAGAAAACAGAATTCTAGTGAGAAATCTGAGTATTTCCAGAGGCAACCATCAATGGGCAATTACTAAGTTTGCTGTGAGCCAAACTGCAGTTTTTCTGTTTCCTGGAGGTGAGCCTCCAAAATGCCTCAAAACACACAAGAAAATTCTACAAACAATTTAATTGGGTATACACCAGATGTATTTTGTTACTTATTTTGGTTGGAACACAATCCAATTAAAAAGCAGCTCCCTGATAAGGGACTGGAATTTGAGGCTGTGATGTACCTTAACTTTTAACAAAGGACACTTGAGATTTTTTTTGCCCCAACTGAAAGCTTTCAGGCAAAACAAGAGTATCTTGACTGGGGTTTTATCTGTGTTTACTGGAAACAAAGGAGTCTGCAAGCTCCACACCTCCAGAGGGGTGAAGACTGCTGGGAGCATGTACCCTACAGTGTTCTGGTTATAAAGAATCTGTCACCTCCTGGTTTATGTGTCTATTCTGAAGGTGAAAATGGTTAAGTCACATACTGAGACTGCAAGAGGAGCACATAGCTCACACTTCTCTCAGTTCCTCTGTCACCTGCATGCTCTGAAATGAAGGTTGTGTATTTGGAATCAATGAGTGCCAGCATCCCCTTTCCAAACACAGGCTCCAAGCAAAGGGTTGCACACTAGTCTCAACTTTATGCTTACTGAATAGAAATACTTACTTTTTTCTAGAGGATTCATCTCAAGTCCTGCTTTTTTTCCTGAGCATGTTATTTATTTTAATTTGTCCTTAAAAATGTTACCATTCCACCCTTGCTCAATGTTCAGCTTTCTGGTGCATCACAGGTAGAATAAACCAACAAGAGTAACTGTCCATTGCCCTTGAACAATTACAAGAAACCAAAGTAAGGGAGAAAAATCTCTTTTGCTTTAGCTGTACATACTGTAAATTACTTACATTTTACAAATCGTGACTAACATTGTTAATGGTGAAAATAACATTCTTCCTTTGGAAAGGAACAATTTCAGCCACAGGGCTGGGTGTGTCCAGAGAGCATCCTGTTAAAGTGAATTCTGTACCTTGACTAACAAGTGTTTGAAATATTTGCTGCTAATGAATGCACATAATTCATGCTCTATAAAAGGCTTTTCCTAAACATTACAGGATCCACGAAGATTTCATTTTTGGAAATGAGTCTTCTATTTTGAACTTGTGTGAGAAGTCTACTCAGAAATTCAAACTGGAACAGCTTGCCTACATTCAGAGAATGAGAGGTCATTGGCCAGGGGGGGAATTCAGAGAAACATCTCCCAAAAGTCAAGCCAATGTCTTTTGCTCATCTAGCAAATCTTCCAAGTGCCCTCAGTAGGAGACTTAGGTTAAGGGAAAAACAGCAAAAAAACCTAAGCCCACAGAAGTAGTTTTGGTAGCTGAGAAACTTATTTTAAATTTAAGATTATTGGAAACAAGCATCTTCTAGATAATCAGCATCTCAAGTCTTTCTTTAGACATTTCCCAACAACATCTGAAGAGCATCTGACTAATTGTCATAATGGGTCATTATGGCAGTTAGTTGTGTGTTCTAGTGTTACTGCTCTATTTTACAGCTTTTGGAAAGCTATGATGCATTGCAACACAAATGTTAATATGTTAAAATAAACATGTCATCCAGACAACAGAGTAGAACTGCTTTTTCAGTGTAAACCATTCCTACTGCTACGGGGGCAAGAATCATTGACTACCCCAAATGAAGCCCTATAAAGAAACTTGAACAGTGATTGTTGGATGATACACATTCTTTACAAAGAGCAACTTACTTGCCAGAGAAGGGATGCTGCCCAACCAGGTCTCCATTCTGGAGATGGTAATCCCCAAACACATCCGGACTCACCGCGCCGTCGGGGGCTATCAGGCCATCTGTGAAAAGAGGAGAGATACAGTGACTGTGGGAAGGACCATGACTTCAGGGCAAGTGGGCAACACAACCCAGGTTAGGAATTCATTAGCAACTTACAGTATTTCTGTGAGGACCATCAATCAACAATAATACAGAAAACCAGCAGCTTCAAGCACCGGAAATCCCCAGTGGGATTCCAAGGAGCTCAGCCTACTGCCCTAAAAAATGCTGTACCAAAGAAATATTCTCTTAGCCCTTCTTCCTTAAGCCTGTAAAAGTTATTTCAAGACAGATCTTGTCTTTCCCATCATCAAAGTAAGTCCAGAGAAAAAGTAATTAAAAGGGCCTAACATTAATCTGGGCCACCAGCATAAAAGTAAAAAAGCAGCAGCAGTTCAAACTCTACCCTGCACCACTGCATCCCTTCAAACTCATTAAGAAAACCAAGAAAGCAACTTCCAACCTATTTCTTTTATCTCGCCCATCTTTTAATGTCTCAGAGCTCTTTCTTAAAAGGGCAGGCTTTTCATATATCCTCTCAAAACACAAGTTAGTTTTCTTGTGCTTCTTTTACAACACTGGCATATGAAGACACAGACACTTGTAAAGCCAGCAGTATTCCTTAAAGGCTTGAGTCTCTCCTTGCTTTATGAGGAAAAGAAGAAAATCAGGAGCTAACATTTTCCTTCTGTTACATCAGTGTAAATCCAGAGTGTCTTTGAAGTAAAGTCAGTGAACTGACCCCAGCTGAATAAGAGCCCAGCTTAACTCTTTCCTGTTCCCATTCACAAAACACATTCCTTATTAATATTAAGGGCACAGTTCTTACTTGGTAATTAGTATTAGGTTCTAATCAGATAAAAACCAAACTATTTGATTAAAACAGACCCTACATCAGTTTGTCTCCATTACTGTATGAAACTCCAGGCCTGGATAGCAGAAAGCACCCCCATAAAAACAGGGCAGAAACAGGTACATTCAGACTGATACATTAATAGTTTAAGAAGAGGGAAGAGAGAGATTTCTAATGACTAGGAAGTTACAAATGCCATTCCACTTTAAAGAAAGAGAGATAAGATCCAGGGAGTCACAGGCCACTTAGCTTAACCTCTGTGGTTTCAAAACTCCTAAAACTGCCTGTGCAGGAAGCAGTGGAAAGTTACTTACAGACACAAGGGCTTAGAGATGACGACGCTGGCAATCAAACAAATCTCCCTGTGCTTTATGAATTCACCTGATGTTTTTTTGAAGATAATATAGTGACAAGTGATAAAAGGAATAGAATTGACACATCTAGATTTCTACCAGACATTTGATGAGGTGCTGCAGAGATTCATTTAGAAGATAATACCTCATGGGAAAGTGACTGAATACCACACAGCAGATCGCAAATGAAAACTGCCAGCCATGATCAGACCACATTTGAGCAGCATAAGATTGCTGTACATGGCTATGTTCTAATTGCACACATGTGTATACAGTATGGGAAGGAGTATTACTTGACAGGCCAGGGATCTGGCACAGATTGATATTGCTGCCTCTCGGCATGGTCAGTGAGACACTGGTGCTCTGTGGCATCATACGAATAGAACATGTCCAAAGGAGAGAAAGGACAGTTGAAATGGCTTTTATTTACACTCACACCAAGTTTGCCTATCTCACCACCTGTTCTGTATTTTTTACTGAGAAATGGAGAGGAACATTATGGCTTTTATACCTGCAGCACTTCAGATCAAACCCAATCAATTCAAGTGACTATGCATTTTAAATAGTCAGGTTCAGTTAAAACTTATTTGAGAGCAGAGAGACTTAAAAATAACATCTGTCTTTATATTAGTAAAGCAAGCACTACGTTTTAACTCTGAGGCTAGAGCTACCACTACTTAAAGTGTCTTCAATCAAGAGTGTTAACAGTCAAACCATAACACTCAGAGTTATGGCTCACATGAATTTGTAGGAAAACGAAAGCACATGGAGAGCATCAGCTGCATATAATGTGATTACACAGTTAAAGGACATCTGTTGTTATGTACATTTCAACATAAATTAGGTTATGTACTTTCAGAGCAAGAGAGACACAGCTCAAGAAGGCAGCTTCAGAGATTCTGCCACGTTTTCCCTGTAGGTTTAAATTACTGTGCAGGAGAGCGATCGGTCTCTCGCTGCAAACAGAACTCATCTCGCCACGACTGAACTCGAGAACTACTTCTGGCTGAAGTGGGACTGTTACTGAGGTCACTTCTAAAATTATCAGATTGAAATACAAGTACTGAATTTCTTACTGTATGAAGATTTGTAGTTTTGTTGGGTTTTTTAACTAAGGAATGCTCTGTCCTTTGGAAACCAAATACCTGCTCCAATTGGTAGAATAACCCGTAGCCTTTTCACAGGAATATTGTGTCTCTTTCAAGATGCCACATCTCAAAAGTCTAAGTCCAGCAGATTTCAGAAGCACACCATTACTGACACTTGCTGGAATGAACCTGTATTTTGAATATAATCACCTACTCTTTAAAAAAGGGCAATCTTTAAAAACAAGGCACTTTTCAAACATCTGCAGAACATATCACTGGAAATCTGCCTCTCCTTCCTGGTCAAATATCAATTCCAACACAAAAAAAAATAACATTAAGCCTGTAACAAATGATAAAAAGCCAGGAAATTCAGTGTTACTGGTGCCATTCCATTTCTAGCTCCCACTACTGGGAAAAGAAAAGTCCCTATGAAATAAGCAATTAAGATTTGTAAAGGGGAGACTACAACAGGCAGGTTGGCACATCTTTACTTTAGGAAGCCCAGTGGAGACTTGATGTAAAAAAAGACCCTTAGAGGGTACAACACTTGGCTCCCACTGCTAAATTCTAATAGAGCAAGATAAAGCTACAGGATTCAAAGTACAAAAAAAATATGACACTAAAGAGGCAAGTTGCTATGCCTGACATATGTCATCAAAAGTAGAAGAGAAACTTTAAGTTCTGATATCCTTTGAGAACAATTTTTGAAATGCTACTGAAATCTTGCATAACTATTTTCTTGCAGCAACTACAAGTGAAGATTATGGGGTTTAGTGGTTTTGTTTTTCTAATTACTCTTCCTGCAAAATCATCCAGAGTCATAGAGCTTTGTGACTCGTGATTCATGGCAAGGGACTGGACACTTCTGTGGAAAATGGAAAACACAGTCTCAAACCCAGCAATTAAAAAAAAAAAATAAAAATCCATGCACACACAGTCATCCAGGAGTTTGAAAAGGATCTAAAACCACAAGTTTGAGAGGATAAGCCAACTCCTAGTTATGAAAAGTTATGAAGACATTTATCCAGTGAGCAAATTATTTCATGGTTGTCCCCTGTAAAGTTTTTCAAACCTTTCTCTGGCAACACTGGACGAGATAAATCAGTATCTTAATCCAGTGGGGCAATTTCTATTTTCTTAGTAACTACAAAATCTTCACAGGAGGAGAGAGACAGAGTAGATTCCACTTGAGATGCCCAGAACTGTGCCACTGAGCATTACTAATAGGATTAAGCCAAATGATAAGAAATGTCTTTGTCTTTTTCTTTTCTTTAGAAAACCTACTAGGGTTCATCTCAAATAAAAACATTACTCTTCCTAACAATAATTTGGGTATTTTTTAAAGCTTCTTTAAATTGTCAAATAATAGAAGTTTTTCATACAAGGAACTTAAAAAAATACCAAAACAACAGGTAGTTACAGAAGAGATTCACACCCTTCCCTAGATCCTAGACACACAAGAGCAAAAATCATACAGATTAAAGTCACAGAATGATGACATCTGCTAAGGAGTCTACAAGTCTGACGTGGCTCAACTGAAGTCTTTCATCAATACCTGAAATAAAAATTCCATTACAGAACTAACACATTAGGCAGAACAAAATTCAGCATAAATCCCATAGCTGTGAATTTAACAGGGATGAGAGAAGGTTTGTGTTTGCAGAGCAAAGAAACCACAAGAAATAGGTGTGAACAACAGGGCTGGGCCACCTTTACTCAAATCAATCATCTTGGTCCATCAGCTCCCTGAGACAGGTCTACTCATATTTCTTAACATCATGGATATACAGTCCTCAGTCCATCACTGACATCCTAACAAGGTCAAGCCCGTCCCTGGCTGGCATCAGCGCTGCTCCCAGTGACACGGAAGGGAACTGTCCTGGTTTGAGCCCTTTGAGTCAGCCCCAGGTCAAGCTCCCACTCCAAACACAGAAGAGGCAATCCCAGTGCTGAATGCTAATAGCTGCTGCCTTACCTGCATTGTAATAGAGGTCAGGTCTTTCCAGAATATCCCCTTCATGGATGTAGGGCTCGATAGGATCGTCACCGTACAGGTACTGCTCACTGTCATCCATCTGCCGACTCTCCACCATCTCCAGCCACTGAGAGTTGTGCCATCGGAATTTCTCAGTCTGGATTTTTTTAGCCCATTCCTCATCATATTCCTGTCAAAAATCACCACATGGTATTTTAGGATGAGGTACAGATGAAGCTGTTTGGTTTAACAGGAAATGGCAGAGGAATTCAATGTCAGCAAAAGACGTAGGTTCAGTGCCCGGTGACTTAAATCCTCTCTTCAGTTCCATGTCCTTTGAGCAAAGAAGGCATTTTGCAAGCACTGGGCATTATTCTGGTTTGTACCTGCAGCAGAACAATCTTCCTGCCATGGTTTGTAATTTTACACCATCCAGAAAAAAACTCCTGCTTTGAACAGAGCAGTTCCATCATCAGTCTCCTCATCTGGTTTAATTAAGAAGAGCCAATTACTGCCAATCTTCAGGGGGTTTTCAGCAATTAATTACTTACACTGGCCAAATACCCTGCACATCTTCATTAGATGAGCATTCACTAGGACAACTAGTTACTAAAAAATACAACAAAAAAGGCTGTGGTAAAACCAATAAATTTTTATTTTATGAGCTCCAGTATGAATTTAATTTTCAGCTTCATGTCAAATGTTATGTTTAATATTGAACACCCACAAAAATGGTACACAACTAAAATCTGAGAGGAACTTCTCCAGAAAGCTGAGTAAAACAGGATACAGGTTCCAGTCACTATGGAAAAAAATGAAGGCATGAAATTTCAGTCTGGATTACAGCCTGATTGTACTCAAGTGATGTGATATTTGATATAAAGGAGCATCAGAATGAAGTGACACAGCCTTTGGTCGCTGCAATCAGCTGTTCAGAGAAGGATCTTCCAAACAGACCAGACTATGTGGGCTGGTGATTACAACCAAGGGAACACTGACCTGTGGATGACACTCACTTTCTCAATCCCACTGGGAAGAGAGGGCACATCTAATGATAGGAAACTCATCAACATATGAAATCTGCAGATGGTATCAATTTGGGAATGTTCACAAATAATGCACCATAATTAGTACTTCTTTAAACCAAAATACTGTGAACAAGAGTAACATTCCTAACCAAAATGTTTCTGCTTGTGGGAAGAAATATCCTTGGGAAACAGGCCCCACTCCATTGTCTTCTAACCTAACTACAAAGGAGAGAAAAATTGAAAATCATCTCCTAACTCTCACGGTGGTTAACACGTGATCCAGACAGACTTTCCCTGGAGATCTAGCTGGAGTAGTTTAAGGCTTTAAAAATCTGTTTTACTTAGCCCCATACAGGAAGAAGACACACAATTAACGACAATGCTTTGGGTGTGGAAGTGGTAATTTCTTAAACTGTTCCTGCCAGACATGCCAAAAGAGATCTGTCCATAACCAGAGGCCAGAAACAAGCCAAGAAGGCAGAACAAGCTGGCTTAGTTAGCTCAGGTTAAGCTTCTGAAAGCCCTGTAGTCTGAACTTGAACTTTTAAATCAATTTTGTATTCAACCCAACCAACCTTTTCTTCTCTGCTATCATATGTGTTACACAGGTAACACTCCCTACCCTGTGCCTTTTCTGCCTTCTGACTGGTGGATAACTACTACTCTTAGAAATAACAGTGCAAAACAAGAGTTTCCCTGGAAAAAAGCAAGCTCATCACTGAGATTTATAAAATCACCGAAAAAAAAGAAAGACAGAGCATGACTTTCAATTATGACATCTGACCAGCATCTTGGAAACATCTCCTTTGCTGCATCTGCCAGAGCAAAACCGTGGGCTATCTATTATGTCAGCCTCCAGCAGCTGGGAATTACTTACAAGCTTTAGAGGAACTCTTGTTACTGCCAGAAATCATACTGCAGGCTGAAAAAAACTATTCCCAGAAATCATGATTGCAAAGAAGCAGGGGAAAATAAACAAATTTAACAAACAGTAAATTAGACTAATTTGTGGGAAAGCTGAATCCCTTTTACATTACCTTGCTTACCTTTAAAAGTTCTCAAAAGGCCAGCAGCTAAATCATCCAATTCACATTTACCATAACTGCACATTGAAAATGCCTGAATATTCCCAAAGTTCCAACCCTAAATGAATCCCACTTGCCCAGCATCACTGCTCCATTCCACACCACTGTCTGAACATGCTGAAGGTCTGTCAGAAACAGACATCAACTTCTTCTATCCTTTTAAAAAAAATCAGTTAACATGACCCAGATCCTAACAGATTTTTCCTTTAGATGAAGGCAGCAGAGCAGAATATTATTATCTATTGTACATTTCCCAAACCTACATTAAGAGGCTTAAAACTCCCAGGTATTTTTCCTCAATTATTCATCTAAATTTTGGAAAATGGGATTAGCAATTGAATGGTAAATTAGCAGTTGTAAAATTGACCATATGTGCACATTATTAAAAAACCACAATTTATCTGTTCAAGTAATTTGGCAACTTTGTTCTGGTTGCTCCTTCCCACTAAAACACAAGGTACAAACATTACAAAGAAGTGACCACACCAGAATTAGATCAATGATCAGTTTGTCAAGAGTTTCACTCTGGCAGCCATCCCAGAAAAGGATGATTTGCAATAATCTAGAACAATTTATATAACCTCAGCACAAAAAAGTTCATTTAAGTACTGCTAGATCAAGAATATGTCTGTAGATTTTCCATAGAAATGTGCAGAACCACCAACTGGGTAAATGATTAATGGAATAACATCAGAATGGAAGAAAAGCTGTAAATGCAGGACTACAGCCAAAAGGCACAAAGAAACCAAATTAAAGACATTTAGAGTAAAACAATTCCCTTAAACACTGCAAGTCTTCCAGTAATTATATTTTGAGCTATTCAAGACTCTTTTTTTTTTTTTTTTAATCTTGTGTGGGGTATTTTTGTTTTGGTTTTTAAACACATGAAGCACCCCTTCTTTACCAAGGAATTCCTGCAAAAATGAAGCCAGAAAACATCATGGAGATACAGCCATAGCTTTGAGTCCTCCAGCTCTTTTAAATGTTAGGCTACTGGGAAAGTGTTGGATGGGAGAACAAGAAGAAAGTGAACAGAATGTGACTATTCTCCAACACCCCTCCCTCAAATACTGCATGTTCAGAAACATAAAAGGAGGAATTCTGAAGGTTGATTTTATTCTCTTTGGAGCTCCCTGACATCACTGTTTTTAACATTCGGTTTCCATAAATCCCAAAGTGTCATAGAAGATGTATGGCTTGACTCTGTGAGGAATGTGCCATCCTTTTTGAAGTTCTACTTCCAACTTTGTTTACTACTGAACCATTGAAATATTATGAAGCGTTAACTGGCCCATTATCAGAGCGTGTCTGTTCCCTATCAGGGTCCCCTTTGTCACTGGCTTCCGTCACACCTTGTATCTGATTAACACACTATAGGATAACACAGAGCTACACAGATCTGCTTTGTGTTCTCTCACAGCTGATGAAAAACAGATTTTCCTTTTCCCTTTAATGTGGTTGCCCTTTAATTGGGTCTGTAATAGGGTTCATTTGATGTGATTCTCATACTGAACTGAAACCACTATACAGTAAGTAGATGCTCATTATGTTCAAGGCTCTACTTGATATGTTAAATTCTTCGTTACTGAACCATCCACAGAACACACATTTTACATGAAAGCCTAAATTAACCATTTATTAAGAAAGAAAAGATTTATCTTGCCTACCTATCCAAAAGTTAGGCATGTGATTTCAACTATGTGCCTCTACAAACCAAGGAGAGAAACAGATGTTATGGATCACCTTCTGCAGGTGTCTGCCACACCTACCTTAGGGCAAGTACCACCTGTGGGCAATTCCTTCACAGGAAAAAAAAAAAAAAATCCTTCTACCACTTACACCTGTGCAACCCAGGGTCACTGCCTGCAATCAGGTTCATGGCTAAATATATTCTGACAGGAAGCTACAGAAACCTGTGAGATGAAGCTAATGGCAATGTAAAGAAAAGAGTAACCATTCGCGCCCTCCAAATTTAGGTGCCTACATACAATGCACAGCATCCACAAAGTTCCCATACTGGCAGTAGCAGATCAGAGAAACTTCTTTTCCCCTCTACTTTGGAGGAATGTAAGGAATCTCACTGGCAACCTGTTACTTAAGTAACAGATGGGTGGCTTAGCTCACCTTCCTGATTTTACAACTCCAAAGAGCAAGCACCAATGCTGGAAGGGAATGTGTCCCAGACAGGTTTATGTGAACACAAAGACAAGCAGGATGCTCCTGCCCTATCTGATGCTGCTGCAGTGTGGTTACTCTCTACAGGCAGAGCCTTTCCTGCTGGGTAATGCTCTTTGCCACAAAAGGCTACCAGCACCAAAGCAGACTGATGGCACATTTACCAGTGAAAACACTTCAGCAGCTCAGCCTACAGCCCCACTCCCTCACTGCCCTCTGCCCACCCCTCTGTACTTGGGTTTGCTACAGGATAATGGGGAACAAGAGGCACCACAGAAAGAGCATCTTGACAAGTGGAGAACCTTTTTTCCTGGAGTGACTACAGTACTCTTCATGGAGAGAGGACACCAAGCTGGAGTCAAAGGTTATCTATTTTCAGAGCATGCTGCCTATTCAAATGAAGCCCACACCAAATCCCTGTGGTCTGCTCTTCTCTGATTCTAAGAGAGCTGGCCAACATCTCGCACAGCTGGCCCCAAATCCCAGAGCACTGAGGGTTCACAGCACATTCCTGCTTCTTATGTGAAATTCCAGCATCCCCAACATAGAGGACTTGCATCAGGGAGCTTAGCTAACAGGGAAAGAAGCAAGCTGTTCATTAACAATGCTTTCCATACCGGGCAAACATTATTTGGCATTTATTACAAAAACGTGGTCAAAGAACAAAAGCTGGAAAAACAACTCAGGCACGAGGCCCTTCCTAAATCAATGCTGTAGCTATCTACAAGATATCTTACTTCTGCAGGAAGCATAATGATCCACTTCTGATCATAAGAGAAACAAGATGGTACAGCAGGTCTGCATTCAGAGCTGTAAAGACACTGAAGAGGGAAGTGGGGGGACATGACAGAGGGTCAAACTAGAGTCCAAAGATCTGGTAATGGTTAATTAGATACCCTTTGAATAAATGAGGAAAATAATTTGACTGCAATAAAAGTGAGGTAGGAGCAGAAAAAGAATAAGAAACCTGAGAGATTAGTAACCTCCTTGGCTCTTGATAACATTGCCCAAGGTGAACAGAGGAAAACCATCTCAAATAAGCTGACATCTTTTTCCACAAGCTTGGAGTTGCAGGTGTCCAGGCTTCTGAGGCAAAGGAAAAGGGAACTTAATTTGCTTGAGACTCCTATACCAGCTGCTGATTCCAGGCTTTCAGCTAAGCTGTAAGACCTGTCCCACCTTAGGGGTACAAGTACACTAACCTACTTCCTTGGTGTCAAAACTCAGCACATGACAGAGGACTGAAGCATTCCTAAATCATCAACACAGACCTATTTTTTGACAAAAGAAGTCAGTCTCAGTGCAAAGTCTTGTGTGCAAGTCTCAGTGCATACTGTGCTAAAGCAGCACATCTGTTTCAGTTCATCAATGGCAGAGTCCAGCCAAGTTATATTAAACAAATCATCACTAGTGTAACATTTCCATAATTTCTGTGACAATTACTTTACTACATTTCTCCCCTAAGGCTTATAAGGCATCTCATTTTCTTCAGTGTTATTTCAATCACACTATATAGAGCTCACTGATGAGTGAAAGAAGCATTTGTCTCCCTGAGAAGAAATTATTTTCAAATCTATTCTCCAACATTTATTTTCTGATTTCCATCATCAGAGGACCTAATCCTGTCAGCATGTATGGAACAAGATGACTGAAAACTGAAGGTTTTCTTGGTGGGGATTAGCACAGGTAAGAAGTTCCACCATCTTGGAGACTATTTCTGTTCAGACACCTCAGCAGGCACTGGTTGTGTAAAACTGACACACAACCAAACACTTCTGTGTTTCCAGGCTGCTTTAACATTCCTCAGAGTTGAATGGCAAAACACCTATCAAGATCTGAGGTTCTGATAACCTACTGTCTCCTAGCACTGCTCATTGACTCAGAATTAGCATAAAGATTATCCCTTCTCAGGACAGGAAAAAAAGCCAAGTACATTTTACTCAGATGGTAATACTGGATATGAAACTATGTCTTTATATATTTATTCTTCTCGATCCTATAAAATACATTTTGCTTAATAATATTACTGACAAATTTTCAGTAACTAGATACTACTGTGCACCACATTGTAAAGCTTCCCCATGTGAACAAATCAACATGTGAGTCACTTGGAAGCTGCACTGGCCCCAAGGCAAAGCAAGTGTTGGATGCACTCAGATTGTCCAGCCTCACCCAGAAGACAAAAAAAGTCCTTCTGCTTCCACTGGAGATGTCCCTGAAAATAACTCATCTTAGTAAGCTGAACATAATGCCCATCATAAATAAGTACTAAGTGCAAATTCATCTGAGTTTAAATCTTGCCCTTAATGAATGTCATCAGTAACTCTGCCATTAAGTAGTGGAGCACGATTTTCATTCCATACCTCCATGAAGCAAAGACAGAGCCAGATAAAAAGAATTCCAGCACAGCAAATGTTACATCATCTTACTATTTTTAGGGGGAATATTAAATTAGAAGACATTACTAAAGAGTATAACAGAAAAAGGCAAACTAGACTGTAGCATTGTGCAGTGTAAGTTCAGTCCCACACTATATTAAACTTTTCAGAGAACAAGCTGCAATATGTGTGATTCAGCTGAAGAAGAAACCATGTAGATGACTGGAAAAGCATTAAGGCAGTCAAAGACACTGCTGCTCTTGACTCAGTTAAGTTCTCTTTGGCTACAGGATTCCATTTCATGACAGTTACTCTGCATCCAAAAAGGATGTACAGTCAGTACAATCCTAAGACACCAGAGATGCTGAAATTCTTTTTGCCCATAGAAGTCAAGTCAATGAAACAGGCCAGGAGGCATTTTAACAATGTAATGCAGCTTTTTAGTAGCATCAGTTTCACCATGTATTTACTTCAGTGAAGAACACCCTAGAAAATGTTAATGCTTCTGCAGGCAAGGATCCCCAGAAGCAGAGTACACACACTGCAAGAGCTCATAAAGCAACAGCACTTGGTAATTTAGTATTCTTTGTTTCAAGCTAGCAGTTTAATACAACTGTCCCAGTTTATTGTGATCCATGGACGCTGGACAAATTAAGTTATGTAACTAAAAGAAACCTACCCAAGAGCTGAAGACAGTATTACAGTGACTGTACCCCCAGCAGGAAACAGCCAGCTTCAGGATCACAGCCATATTCTCCTTTTGAAACAAATACTGGCATCAGGCACTGTAGAGAAGCTGAATAGAAGCTGCTGGGGAACAAGAGCCATTTGTTTGGAGAACTAAGAAATAATGAGGGCTTGACATACTTACATAATGTGATTAATTTATTTAAGTCTAAAAGCACTCTTTAGAAGTGTCTGTACTGCAGAGCTAACTGGTATGAATTTTCAGGTATATATGCACTTTTTGGAAGTTTGATACGTAGTCTAATGATTGTCATTGTGCCCTGCAAACTCACCTTTTACCTACATGATTAGAAAGTTGCACATGACACAGATTTTCAGTTTGCAAGTTATTGTTACTTAGTTACTTTAGAATTCTCACATAAAGAGGTTGTGGAAGGACAGAGGATAAAAAAACAAGTCAGACCTACCGCTATAATATCCAGAGTGTTGTCACAAACCTTGCGGATCTCAGCGTTTTTATCGTGCATCAGGTCTATAAGATATGCTGGGGCTTCTGGAAAGAAGCTGTTAAGGATAAAAGTAACTTTTTTTTTTTCCTCCCACAACCCTGGGTTCTTCAAACTGCAAGTTTCATTAAGAACCAGAGTCAGGAATTTTTCATCACGTGTAGAGTTCAGCAGCCTTCCCCAAACCACTTTTTTTTTTCTTAAGTCCTATTCTAAGATGCCCAAAGTGTCCTCAAAACTGCTGAAGAAAAATTACATGTCCCTTACAAAGAAAATACATTCTGATCTGTTACAGGAAATCCATGCACCCAAGGTCTTAGTCAAGAGGGCAGAGATTCTGTGTAATGGTTTGATCTTTTGAGATTTTTGTAATTTTTAGGGAGTCTACTTGTTTCCAATGTATGTGTCTAAAAAATACTCAAGATAATCTATTGTGCATTAATACTTGCTCAATCTGAGCAATAAAACCATTGTCCAAATGCTGGTGCTTTATCACTACAGATATAGGAAGAGATGCAACTTTTAATTTTTATTTTCTTAAAGCCAGCAACCTAGGGGTCCAAACAGGAGACAAAGAACAACATCCTAAATGGCTTCTCAGATATTCCACTGAGCTTAAAGGAAAAAGAACATTAAGAAGTATTCCCTGTATTGTTAGCAAAGTAATCACTAGCTTGCTCTCCCTACCAGGGTTCAATTCAACCCACTCTGTTCTCTTCAACTGAATTTAACATCCAGTTAAGGCCCACAAACTTCAGACCATACAGATATATATGTATAAATGGTGCAATGCAAGAAGTTTGCCTACGCCCTATATAAGTTTTTCTATGAAGTGTGAATTTCACTACAATTTGCAAAACAAATTCATACAGTAAATCAGACTGGATTGCAACTAATAAGTCATCTGGTTCAGTGATCCCCTCCTACGCCCCTCCCTGTTTCAAAGCAAACTAACTTTTAATCTTTACTATTAATCTTGCAGTCACTCCACAAGCCCAGGCTGCTTGGGTTTTTCATTCAGCTGAAATAAACCATTTACAAAGAAACCTCTGAGATCACGGGCTTAATGCAAGAGAAATGTGAGGCAAATAACCAGCGATGGCAAATTAAGTGCTGCAGTTCTAAATGTTTAACCATTAAAAAGATATGAGTTTCCTTGATAATGACATCTCTGGTGGCTTGGTGGAAGACCATCTGATAAAACACATAGATGATCTGGCAGACAAACTCATCGTCTTCCTGCTGAGCTGCAAGGAGAAAAAAACCCATCACAATTTCAAATCTCACAAATAGAAACTCTTGATGCTTAGAGAGCCGTGGAGGTGTGGGAAAACCCAAACCTATTAGATCACTAATCAGTACCTATCAGTAATGGAGTAATTGCTCCTCCTTCCACATACAAACACCTAACCCTGCCTTGCAAGACCACATGGATGGTGCACTGAGTTACAGCACAGCTACACCAACCACAGCTCTTGCTTTTCAGAGTAGTCAAGTCAAACACAGCAAGGTACCATTGAGAAGCTCAATGAGTGCAGGGATGATTCCAGATTTAGCCAGAAGAGCAGCGCAGGAGTCGTCCATGGAAACAGTCCCGATCATTATCACCACCTCCAAAACAAGGTCATCTTCTGCAGAACCTGCTGAGTCAAAAGGCAGGAAGTGTTACCTCTCAGGAATTCTTAATCTCCTGGCAGTTGTATATTTATCTGTAGACATGATTCTGTTCTTCAGTGTTATGTTTTCCTTAGCAATCACAAATTATCAAGGTAAACAGATTTGATTCTGAGCACTCTAAATATTCTTCAAGAGACTCTGCTTTGAAAGACAAACCAGACTTTGTACAGACCTGGTTTTAGTTTATCCTTGAGGTATGGGACCAGTTTGTACTCTTTCAGCACAAGTTCCCAGTCCAGATCAGGTAAGGTCAAATTTGCAAGTGTTCCCAGGCATTCAATCACAAATTCCTCTTCCTCATCATTTGATACTTGAGCTGCTAAATCACCAACATAATCCTAAAGAAAATACAGCAACAACCATTACAGGTGGATAATCCGGGGTTCTGAAGAACTCACCTCAGTCAAACTAAAGCTAGTTCTCAAAAGAACACTAAGGAGACTTTGCTCCTGAAATGGAGACTAATAAGGCAGTTTCAATTTCAGTTGATGACTAATCCAAGAAAACATTTCAGCTTTCTTCCTGTCCATCCTTTCACTTTCAAGAGATGTAAATCATTTGTTCAAATGATCCAAAAGTAGTTACTACACACACAGTTTAAAGAGTTGTTATAAAATAAGGAAGGAAGTTAGTGAACACCATACTGCATTAGTGGCAGTAATGGGGTCCTCTTCCTAAAGATTTTAATAAATAACTACAAGATTTTCAGAGGGCATAAACAGGGGAATAATGGATTCTACTTACTAATTCCATACAATGTGATTTTCAATCCTCATTACCAGTATGATTAGAATGTTGATTTTCCTTCTTTCTTTTGAAAGGGTAGCTTTACATGCTTAATATTTAAATAGTGAGTATATAAAATTTTAAAATACCTATATACAAAACACAGCAGAAAAAAACCCCCATTTTATTTTGCTCTCTAGGTCTAAAAGCAGAAATTTAGGACAACTTAATTGTTATGATGTTCACCCCAGCAGCTGGGGTTTTGTTTTGTTTGTTTGCTTGTGTTTGTTTTGTAACTTACTGGATAGGACTTAAGATCTGTTTTCCCCATGGGGGCATCTAAACCCTGATCTACCAACTGAGATAGCCTTATAAAACAAAACATAAATCAACCCATGACAGACAAGAAAACAAACTGGACACCCTGCAAAGACAAACCACAGCAGCTCTCCAAAGCCAGTCTTTTCCAGTAGGAAAAAATGAGAGATCACATTAGGTAATACATAGTACTTACAATAAACTGGCTTTTAGTTGGCCCATCATGTTGGGAAATATTTCTGATCATCTTCATTAACAATGGGTCCTTAAATTTCAAAGCCCGCTTCATTAGCATTTTCAAACCATTTCCTGAAAAGAAACAAATACTTAGGAAATCCTCCAAATAAAAAAAAAAAAATCAGGAAAGTATTGGCTGGTCAAAAATTGACATGCACACCCACACAAAAAAACCAACTTTAAAAGTTTAAAAGGAAAAAGTGAAAAATCTAGAGAGGATAAAATCCTGTTGTCCACACAGCCACAGCTTTTCAGAGAGATGTCATCAGTCTGTTTTTCAGATCTACATGGACATATAAGAGATGTGTTGGCCATGCATTGCTGCTCAGTGTCATTCCTGTCACAAGACCAACTCTGAGGAGAAGATGGCCATTTGCTTACAATCATTACCCAATCAGATTTATTTTCTTCTTAAAAATACACATTTCTAAGTCACTCAAATATACCTCAGTTCACTTACCTTCACAGATCAGCTGCACATTTCTTTTGTTAGCAGCAAGGTTAATACAGAAAGAAATAAGTTCCAGGTCAACTCGCTCATCAGGACATTCAAAAAGCATCTTCATTAACTGCCAAGAAACACAAGCACACTTAAGTCATTAGTCTTTCCAAAGCATTAGAAAAGCAATGTTATGATACCAACTACAGTACCTTTTTTAAAATTAATACTCAGCATTTCTACAGGAACAGTAAAAATTACAAAGGTCCAAGGCATAAGATGTATAGTTCCATTATTTAGGGATAACAATGCTTGAAAAGTGCCAAAAATGGCAGTCACTCATCACCTTAAATTAACTTGGCTTAAGTTATATTTTATTGCTACCACTGAAATTTTTATTTTTACTGGTTTTTTATAGTTGTGATAAATCGGATATATTTGTTTTGAAAGCTTAGGTAGACTTAATATAGGAAAAAAACCCCACAACGTAGTTCCACAGAACAAGGTTGTTTAATAAAAATATGACTCTAAACAGATACTTAATTTCAGATTAATTCCACTATTATTTTACTACATTGATAGGTAAATTAGCTGTATCTGCAGCAATGTGCTTTATCTTTGCAGCTTCCATTCCTGGAGCTGATCACTGCCACGTACTAAAGACTTCCCAGAAGTAATCCTACTTTTTTGGTAATGTTAACATAAGACAATCACCTATAATCCTGTTCCAACTGTTTAGCAAGTTCCAGGGTGAATTCCCAGGTGATTCCTTAGGCTAATAACCTATGGACTGGACTGCCATCACTTTATACACCTGGCACTGGGCTGGCTATCTGGCTTGTTTGGTTCAACATGAACCTTTATTGAAATGGCATTTTGAATATAGCACCATGACTCAAATACATCCATTTCTTTTCCCTCTGTTTCCAATCCTGGCAGACAAGTTGCTGGCCTCAGGTTTGCAGGACATAACACTGTTTGCTCCTCAAATCCACTCAGTTCATAAGACACATTTAGATTATAATGTAAAGTAGTGGCATGACAAGACCAAGATTACTGGAAGAAGAAACTAAACCTAAATGTAAGTGGGACACAAGGTACAAAAAACGTAGCTTAGCTTGTGTCAGAAAGGGGTGGGAAGAGAAGAAAGCAATTAAATTGAATGATTAACTAATCATTAAATATTTGTGTGCTTGCCCCCTGGTGGAAAGACAAGTTTGTAATGCATTAAAAACTAGAGAGTGGGTGAACAACACATTTAGAGGGGAAAATAAGAACAATAGGATTGCAGGAATTTCACTCCAAAGCATTTTACTCTGACCATTCTGTATGTTCATCTATTGCCAGATAGAAGGCTGTCATTCCAAATGAACCCAAGTAAAATAAAATACCAAACTATGTTACAACATAGCTATTTCTCTTTTTTTCTGGGACTTTCACAGACTGATTTTAAAAATATCATTGATTTCTTCCTCCCTTTCTTAAAAAGGTTGAATCAGATTTCTCTAAGTTGTTTTAAGAACTTATAAAATCCCTAGGTTATTAAATCCATAAGCCTGACAGTCACAGAAGAATGAATTAACAGAGAAGAAAGTTGCCACTTAACAAGTAGAACATGAGCATTCGAAAATCACCCCCTGCAACTCTTCTGTTACAAAACCTTTAAAAAGAGATTTTTAAAACCATTCAAATAATTTGAAGGGAAGCAGTCTCATTACTTACACAATACAAAATCTGTGGAAATTAGATGTTTAACAAGATGGGATTACACTGTTAATTACTGAACTACTTCTCTATAAAAAGAAAAAAATATATCCAGTTTCAATTAAAGCCGTTCAAATTTTAAAATAATAGTTTCATACTAGTTCCATGTTTCCCATTATGTCTTCATTTAATGTGATTGCTTCTTGTGCCACTTCAAAAGGAAGAGTAATTGCTGCCAAATAGGAAATATTAAAATTAAATTTGTTCTGCTTTTACTATGTCCATTGTCATCTTTTACTGATTTAGCAGGAAGGCAGTAAAAAGACTGCAGCATGTGCAATGAAGAGGCAGTAGTGTTCAATCAGACAAGTCCCATATTGAGTATCAGATACCACAGACCAGGACTGAAATCACTGTGTCTAGACTCTCTGGCACCTGCCTTCACTTATTTACCAGTGACCAGAGGCCAACCCCCACAGCTCTCTGTTCACATACACCTCTGTCCAACCCCCTCCCCAAGCCCAGCTCCAACATCTTTGAATGATTATGCCAGAACTGCATGCCTCAGGAATCTCTCCTGACCGGCTACTCCCCAACTCCGCTGTTTGAAGTGATGCTCTGGTTTCTGAACTTCAGCAGATAATGGCGGACAGGAGCAAAGGGTGCTGTCAAGAGAGGACGTTTACCAGCATTAAGCTGAAAAGAAGCTTAGAGATCAAAGAGGGGCCAAACAGGACAACCGGGGTGGAAAACATGTGGGGAGCTGCGGAGAACCTCGCACACCGCTCCGCGGTGAAATATTAAATATCCCCATGACATCACTGCCCAACCATGCCCTTTGATTGGCCACGTTATTACCAATAAAGGCTTTTATAAGCATCTGGATGGCATTTGCACCTATTTAAACAAAACACGCATTGCTGAGGTCTAAACAAGAATGAACTGTTAATACTCCCTTTTAACTGTTACTAGAATAGCACCCACTAACTCCTGCCATCCGCGAGGATGTGTACCCGGGACAGCACGCCCGAGCCCTCGGCCAGCACCTCACACCCTCCAAATTACAACGGGGCCCTGATTTCTCCAAGCACTTTCTACAACAGCTAAACGTTCATTAGTGAGTATCTGCCAGCTTAGACGAACGCCTCAAGAAGAAACAAACCCAAAGAAGGGCACATACTACTACATGAAAGAGGTTTTGGTGTTCCAGGGTAGAATCAGAGAGCAGAGAGTCTCTTTAAAACAGTAATTTTCTTTTCCTGACGCCTTATCCACTTCCCTATGCTTTCTGCTACCTCTGTCTTCCTTAATAACCATCTTAATTTTGAACATTCAATAATGAAATTTAAGCTCTGGTTGTCCAGCTTCTTTTTGAACAGTTGGCAGGAGTGATTCGTGAGGCATTAACAGCCATAGGTGCCCTTCCATCTTGTTGTTTAGGCAAAGTACAGTGCAGGCAGCACACTTGTGTCCTGCACCACTAGCCTGTAGATACCCGGTGTTCACAGAGCTGTATCCAAGAGCCATGCCAAGATTCCCTGAAGGCACATCACAAGCGAGCCATGACACACAGTGCAGGAATTCTAGCTTGGCTGATAACTGCTCAGAACAAAGCAGGTCCCTTGTACCACACAAATGCCTTAATATAGAGTTGTTTCTTGCAGTAGAAAAGAAAGCAAGATGTTTACAAGACCACTTTGTAACATATACTAGTGATTCCCAGCAGTTCTCCCCTCTCTATTATCCAAAATCCTCTTGTATGTGGAAAAGCTTCACCAACTTTGTCATGAGATAATGACCAGAAAAATCCTGAAACCTTCCATGACAACTTCCCATTCTGGATGCATTTGATGTTAAAAACACACTTGGCAGGAAAGAAGACACCGTGGTGTAATTCTGAAAAAGCTACCAGAGAGCTTTTACACTTATGCAACACAGGCTTTCTCAACTCCAGCCTCATCAGGCCTGCGAAAAAGATCAGTAAAACAGGATCTGACGCTTTAGAAAGACAAAAAAACCCCAAAACCAAAAACCAGCAGGAAACAACAAAACATGCATACCCAAAAACACAAACACACACAGAAAAACCAAAACCCCATGATACTGTGTCTGTGCTTGGATCAACGAGTTATGTAACAAACTGTAGTCTGAAAGATCAGTGAAGAGCCTTCCACAGTCTTCCAAGTCTCCCTTGTTGTACATGTCTACAGGAGGAACAGGAATTGTCATGTAGCACCATAACCCTGCTTGGCTGGTTTCCAGTTCATATCCTGTAATACTGGAGACGTTGAAATTTTGATACCCAATGGGATCAGAAAAGAATGCCTTCTAAAACTGTAAAGGAAATACTTTCCCCAAGGTTCCCTAAGGACCTGCTGTGCTGCACAAGCTTTAATCTGCTTCAAGCATTCCCGATCTTCTGCAGAAATCCATCAGGTCACCTGTGTTTGCAGCGCTGACAGGGAATGTGTCACCTCTCCTCTTTCTGGGACCATGAAAAGCCAGGAGGGACAGTTCCTGCCTGAGGAGTAGGTCGTTCACCGCGAGCAGCACCGTGGCTGTTCCCCCCGTCACCTGCGGGGGTCAGTGCGAGCTCTGCCATGAGCAAGGCACGGACTGCACAGGGAAAGAGGGATTTTATCACCTCATCACTGACAAAAGCACATACCTGCGGGATACAGTCTGTGTACGCAAACATGGATTTGAAGCAATCGTCCATGCTTATGTGGTACAGAATACAGATCGCTACTTTTTTGTTGTTTTCATTTCCTACAAGGAGAGGAAAAAAAAAACATATTAACAGAAGTATTTTTAGCTAAACACTTAAAAAGAGAAAACAAAAAGCAGAAAAATGCTGGCTAATAGAGGGAACATTTAAATCAGAAATGACACGTTAATGAAAGGGTCTTGCCTGGCCTGTGCAAATGAACCACACATTTGTGCAAAAAGGGAACAAGGGCAATTGGTAGCTATTCCCTCCTCTTCCCAGCATCTCAAAACACTTCCTTATCCCCACTTTGCAAGGAATACATTTTGTGAAGGAATGTTTAATAATGATAGTCCATGCAGATAAAGCCTTCCTCAGTTTCCAGGTAGAAAATTAAGATTCAGCTATGGATATTCCTATGCAAATAACAAGCTTCTCTCAAAGTGAAATTATAAAGAATGTACCAATGCCAGGAAGAAAAATAAGAACTACCACTAAAAAGTGTTGTGGAAGGAATTCACTGCCTTTCAAGCAAGTCACATACTGATTGTTTTACTATTCTAAATGGTATTATCCCGTGGGTGCCTTTTGTGTTTCATACATTTCAAAAATGACATTAGTACATTTTCACATTCACACTTAGCAAAGAGAAAAACACTCTCAAGAAAAATTGGAGCAGTTAATGTGAGTAGGCCGTGAAGTATTTAACTGAAAGGTTCTATAAAATCATCTTAGACAAACATAGAAATGTTTAACAACAACACAGGTGAATTTGACTGTGACTCACTGCTGAAATCCAGACTGAGCATGCTCTGGAGTTCTCCTCTAGCCCTGCATTAGCAGGATCCTGACTGTATATGGGATAAAACATTTATCTAAATGTTTACATTAGTTAGACCAACTCCAAATTCATTCACAGTTCTTACACAACTGATCAGCAATATCCTACCTCCCACCTCTATTCAAGCCAAGTTAGAACAACATCCGTTTAACACGTTGGCAAAGCATCAAAACCTCAAACAGCAACCAACACAGTTAAATATTTCTTCTGCATACATCACTGGGAGCTGGAATTTCCTCTGAGCAGCCAAGGATATGATGCCTTTTTCCTGACAATGAGCATTCGTGCCTTTTTTCAAAGCTGAATTATCAAAGGAGACCCACGAAACCCTTCTGGCAGCTGCCATACAGACTGAAGTATTCTCAGCCATGTCAAACCTAAAATCATAGCTGACCTTTCAGATCCTGCTGGATTCTTACCTGCTTGAAAAAAACATAACTGGTATCACAACCTTCCATACATTTAACAGCTGGAGAAAGGACACTGCCCAAATGTGAAAGCTACTCTGGCTACTATTTAACTAAAAGCACAGACTGTACTATAGTTGATAAAGTATAAACAGAGTCTGTTTTAAGCAAACAAACTGAAGTGTTTGTTATCTTTTGTGCTTCTCTTGTGCCTGGTCATCTTACCTACCTATTTGCTTCTATTAACATTGTGGAAACAATAATTACATGTAAAAAACTTCCTACACATACAGCTGAAGGGTTCTCCTATACAAATATAAAAGCTTACAGAGTAAATTGTTCCTTCAAGTTTCATGGGTCCAGGGGAAAAAAAAAAATCTGTTTACACTGCTCTTAACACTTCACTCCATGCCTCTGTTTTAAAGACTTGAACATCAAGACTCAAATTACAAATACACTTAGTTGGATAATGCAGGAAACACTTTGTGAAGTAAAAGGTAAGTCAGTACAAAAGGAGAAAAGCTCCCTAGAATGGCAACAAGGAAAACAAACTGGAGTGAAGCTGGACCAGACCCTCAGCACATATGAACTGGCAGACCACCAGCAGGAATGATGCTAAATTTTACCTGTTTAACTTCTGTCCTTCATGGGTTTTTTCCCCTCCTCATTTTTGCAAGTTCCATTTGTGCTAAGATCAAGCATCAGCTAAGACACAGTCTCACAAATCTGGTAGCAATAGCAGCTTCCTGGTATTTGGCAATACTGGTGGTTTACTTTCAAATATAACAGCCTGCTCTAGCAGTAAAGGTCTTTTATTTTTTTTTATAAAAAAACCTCTTTGCATAATTTTCTCTCCCCTTTTTCCAAAGGCTCAGCCCGTCACAATAATCTTTCTGATGCCTGGACAACACCTTGAGTATCAGTGAATGACATCACTGCTTCAGTTTCTAAACAACTAAAAGCAATCAAACCCACCCAGATAATCGACCTCAAGAATATCTAGAATTCCAACATTTATTTTATCTGAATGAACTCTTAAAGAGTTGATTTTTAACAACTGGCACTTAAATCGTTCTCTCAAAGTATGTTCCATAAAGCAGAATTCATGACACACAAAAGGCAAAGACAGCTATAGTTTCCAAGAGAAGAGCTGAATTTAAATTCCTTCTTGCTGTGCAGTCATCTGACTCATTTTCCCTGAATTCCCCTGTCCTACTGTCAATACAGGACATAGAGAAGGGTTTAAAGCATTTTAAGTCACAGACACTTATTACACACACTCAGCAAGGAAGTATTTCTCAGTTGTGAGTAAACAGGAAAAAACACAACTGAATTGTACTAACTTGATGAAAAAAAGCTACAGAACTAAAGCTAAAAGACAACAGTGTGCAATTAAACTAAACTAAACTAATGATGTTTGCATCTTAAGTTTCATTTCAATTTCCCAGAAAGGAAAGAACTTCAGGCTAATGTCTGGAAGTTTCACTGTTCTACTTTCCCTATGGAAGCACTTTGGTGGAGGAAAAGCAGAACCTCCTGACTTTTTCCAGTTCTCATGTAAAACAGCAGCAACTCATGATCCAAAGAATCAAACACTCCAGGAAAATCAAGAGGAGGTGGTTGTTTTTAAGCACAGCCAGCATTTAACACAATTGTGGATCTTGCTCCATTAGAAAGCACACAGCCTGTTGGAAAGCTGACTGAAAACCATGCAGAACGAGTTTGTTGAAGATTAGGAAGGGAACAGATTCAACAGCTAAAGAGTTTTAAACACTAAGCATCACCCTGCAGGCTGAAGAACAGACAAAAGGGTAAAAAGTGACAGACTGAAAAATCTACCAAGCCAACTGTCATCCTTTTCCATAGGTACTTCACTCCCCAAAATAAAAACTGGCAGCTACTGACTATTATGTGAATACACCAGTACCAAGCTTACTTTTTCTAATTATTTCATACTCATCTGAATGCTAACGAATAACCCCCTGAGTCAAGCATTTCACAGAGACTTGGCTGTAAAAATTTTAAACCCTGCCCAGTATCTGGCTGGAGAACAGCTTTCCAAAGCATGGAAGTGATACCTTTTTGCTATTTTTGACCACTACTTAAGGCCACACATGAAAAAGCAGACACTGCAGGGAAGACTTCCTTATGACTTGGTACAGTAGGCATCAATAATTCCCCCAAACCAGAAAAAGCAAGAGGAAGAAAAACCAGATTTCTGCCAAACGTGTTCATAAAAATCACCAAAGATCTGGTGTGGTGCCAGAAAGTTGTGGCTACAAATGCTGGTAGTTTTGAGCATCAAGCTTTTTACGACTGAAGGTGGAATAGCCAAATGGCCTAAAGCAGAAAGGGCAGCCCTGGAAAATAATGGCCTAGTCATTATGGATTCTTCTGGTATTTAAGGCAATAAAACATGAATCATAATGAACTCATTGGATATTAAATGTGAGCGTCACGAGCACTTTGATAGGATTTCCACAAGAATTTACCATTAATTAACCAAATAATTATTTGAAAGTGTTACTGAATTAGCCTTAGTCCTTATACAGCCATTCCAGAGAAATTGGTCATTCCCAGCTGAGTGCAGTTAATGCCTTAACAAACCAGTCATTAACTGCAGTTACTGATTTTGTGGGAATTATTGTGTTATAAAATACACTCAACAGTTTATAGAAACAATACTTAAGATTTTTTTTGCAGCTGTAGTTCAGCTGGAGCAGCTGGGATGGAAAAATATCAGGTCCCTGGGGCTGTTTTCACAACTAGTTTTCTGCAAATTAGAGAGGGAAATAAATACATGATGGGTTCTGAGTTCAAAATGGCTTCAGATTTTTAGCCTTTGAACATTAATAAGAAGCCATGTGCCAGTTCTGGGGGCCCACGCCTGAATCCCGTGTTTAGTTCTTACTAAGGTTAAAGATCTAAATGGTATTAATAGCAGAAGCTATAGAAAAATGATTTCTTGATCACAAGATTGGGTCCTACATTTTGGTTGACTTTGTGAGCTTAAAATAAAAAATCCTCCATTAGCTGCACGACAACAAAAACGAAACCCTAAAGCTGTAAAAACAAAATGCCAGTCTGAGTTGTAGCAGCAGCATTCAGTTTTCAAATGCTAAAGTAAAAATGAGAATATAAAGCATGGACTAAATTATTTAAATGTAACACTGTCAGTTAATCAAGTAGCCGTCATTCCTAATGGAATCATCAATGTCTCCATATTAGATATGAAATATGCCCTATCCCACTCATGTGCAAAACATTAACAACAGTAAATCAAAACCAGAACACAAATGAAGGTAAATAACCTATTCCAATGGCAAAGTGAATCTTCAGTTTCAAACTCTGATACTCTAATCTGCTGCAGAATTAGGCAAGTAAGAAATCTAGATGGATAAGACTGTCACAAACTGAGTATCAGGTCTCCAAAACAGCTTAATCAAGAGTTTATTCACATGTATCGTAATTTGTAACAGTGATCTTCGGAAAAAAGGGACAGAAAGGCATCTCTGTTTACCTCTATCTGTATCATTCCTCACAAGCAGCTCTGAAACAGTTGGACTAAGTTAATCCATGTGTGCTTTACACACATATTGGTTTGATTTACATATGTAAATATAAATTGTATTGGATGTATCAGTTTATTTTATCAAGAGAACCTGAAAGAGTTTTCAAATCTGCTCATACTCAACAAGAGCAGACATTGTAAATAAAACATTATGATATTAATTACATACTAATTACCCCTCTTGTGCCACCTTTATGTTACTTGAAGCTGGCTTCATACCATAGGCCTAACTTTAAACCTTGA